ACGCCGACGCTAACGACGGCATGCCAACGACGACGACGCCGCCGCCGCCGCCGCCGCCGCCGCCGACGACGACGACGACGACGACGACGACGACGACGACGACGACGATGACGGTGACGACGGCACGCCGACGACGACGACGACCGACGCCGACGCCGACGCCGACGCCGACGCCGACGCCGACGCCGACGCCGACGCCGACGACGACGACGACGACGACGACGACGACGACGACGACGACGACGACGACGACGACGACGACGACGACGACGACGACTCGGGTCGGACAAGCTGGTGGATTTTGTAAAGGAGGGATTAGCGAATCATCACACGCACTTGGTTTCCCTGTCGCCTTCCCGCGCCAGGGGCGCCCACGGATCGAGGAAAGCGCCTGGCGGCGAGGCCGAAATTAGCTGCAGGCAGCAGATTTCGCCCCCCCCCATTCCTGATTCATCCCCCCCTTCGGTCCGACCCGGTCCTCGTCGTCTGGCCTTCAGGCCTTCGGGCCCAGAGGCCAAAAAACCACCGAGAACCAACGAAAACGTCTGAAAGCCGTTCTAGATCCACGCCTTCCCTCGTCCGACCCCAGCGTCGTCATGTGGACTTCAGATCATATCTCTGGACGCGACTCTGACTACCTACCAAACCACCCCAACCTAACCCGAAGACCCAAGCTTCGGATCGGAGAGTTACAGTTCCACCCGTATTTTTGTCAATGCTCCCCGACGCCCCCCCGCCCCTGGGAATGGAGGGTACATTGGGGCCTTCGGGTTTTGCGCTGGGGTGGTTTTCTGGTCGGTGAGATCTGGGCACCCCCGAAACGCTCTCGGGGAGGCGCAGCTGACGGAAGGAGCCCCGAGGCTTGATAAACCGCCGAGGCCCCCCGGAGAAACGCCCTGAAAGGCTCTCCCCTCTCCCGATCCACCCCCCCCCACTTCCGTCCGACCCGGCCCTCGTCGACCCTGCGGGACGGGAAAATGACCACAGCCACTGCTTCTTGTTTGCGCCGCCTTCCAGCCGGCCGAAAAAGAAGCAGTGGTTGTGGCCATTTCCCTGGTGCCAAGCTCAGTGAAAATGACCACAACCACTGCTTTGTTTCCGCGGGCTGGAAGGCGGCAACAAAAGAAAAGCAGTGGCTGTGGTCGTTTTCACGCCCTCGTCGACCCCCCTCTCCCTCCCCTCCCTCTGGGGCCGGGCGCGGCGGAGGCGCCGCGGCATCGGCGGCGCCCCCGGGCGAAGCTGGGGGGGGCCAGCTGCCGGCCGCCGACCCGCAACCCCCCCCCCCCCCAAAAAAAAAAAAAATCCCAGTGCGACCCTACCTAGGAGTTGGAGCCCCTAGGAAAGCAGCATTAGTAGCAACAGTAAAGCTAAGCTAAAGCTAAGCTGCAGCTAAGCTACAGCTAAGCTAAAGCTAAGCTAAAGCTAAGCTAAAGCTAAGCTAACGCTAAGCTAAAGCTAAGCTAAGTATAAGCTACAGCTAAGCTAAATATAAGCTTAAGCTAAGCTAAAGCTAAAGCTACAGCTAAGCTAAAGCTAAGCTAAAGCTAAGCTAAAGCTAAGCTAAAGCTAAGCTAAAGCTAAGCTGAAACTAAGCTAAAGCTAAGCCAACGCTAAACTAAAGCTAAGCTAAAGCTAGCTAAAGCTAAGCTAAAGCTAAAGTTAAAGCTAAGCTAAAGCTAAGCTAAAGTTAAAGCTAAGCTAAAGCTAAGCTAAAGCTAAGCTAAAGCTAAGCTAAAGCTAAGCTAAAGCTAAGCTAAAGCTAAGCTAAAACTACGCTAAAGCTAAAGCTAAAGCTAAAGCTAAAGCTAAAAGCTAAAGCTAAAGCTAAAGCTCCCAGGGGACCGGGGGAACCGCGGGGCGGGGACTGGGGGAACCGCCCGGGGCGCTTTACACTGCCCGGCCCCTTTAAGCTAAGAGAGTAAAAACCCTTCTAGGCAGAGCCTAGGTAGGGAAAAACGTCGACCCCCCGTCACGGGGACGCGGCGCCCTGCGAGACGGGGATATATCCAGATCCACTGCCCGTCCTGGGACCCGAGCGGGCGGCGGATCTGTGTTTGGGCCCCAGGGGGCCCGAATGTATCCAGATCCACCCGACAATCAAAGCCTCGGAGCGTCCTCGACGGAGAACCTCCAGTGCACCTCGGCCAGCTCGGCCATCCCCGCCGGGAAGGTCCGCTCGGCCTCCGAAGCGGTGACCTCGGGGCCGCCGCGCGCTGGGCGGCGCTGTGTTCCCTACCCCCGGGAGGGGGGGGGGGCCATCGAATAACCGATCCCTCTCTCCCTCGAGGGGTGTTGAATCTGCTGGGCCACCACGAGGGGAAGAGCCGATGGGCCGGTTGCAGGAGGCACGCGAGGGGGCACGAGCCTCCTCCGAGGGCGGCCCGAGATCCATGCTCGAAGAGGGAGCGAAGCGCGACGGACAGGACACGAGGGTGTCCCTAATAATGCAGGAGGAGAAGGAGGAGGAGGAGGAGGAGGAGGAGGAAGAGGAGGAGGAGGA